GTCATCAAGATATTTTTTTGATTTAAGAATGAATATAAAGCATGGCATAAGTTTGAGGATTCTTTATGATCAAACTCTTATTATCTCTTCAATTTCTTTTTGCTTGCAAGTTGATTTGGATTTGAGAATTAAAATAAGAATTTGTTCATTGTTGTAAAATGTTCTTTCAAGTAACAAATCCCTAGAATTCAAATTGTTCAAATTTGTGAATTAGAATCAAAGCTCTTAATCCTATGTTTTGGTTCATGATATCAAGAATCAATTCAAGTAAAAGTGGGAATTATTTCATGGTTTATGTGGAATTATTCTTTGAGCTTTTGCAAGAAATATTTAAGTTGAGATAAGATTGAAGTTGAAGATAAATTTATGATTTAGCAAGCTTTGGCTCAAGATTGTTTCAAGACTTTCATGAGTTGAAGAAATGGAAAGTTGGAATTTGTTTTAACTTGGTTCAAGCATTCAAGAATCCAAAATAATTTAGAATCATCATTCTTTAAAAATTACACATTGGATTCATGGTTTTTCTAAGTTACAATTCTCAAGTATGGTTTTTCAACAATATTTCAAGAATTCTCAAAGTTCTTGTTGAAGCGGTATAGCGGCAAACAACAAAAGTTTTGGAAATATTTATCCGGGAATTTATCGTGTCCATAGTGATTGGTTATTGAATTGTCGTTCGACAAACTCTCACGTTTATGAGTTTGGTTTTAAAGGGGTTTTTGTATGTAAGGTGCTGAAATTAAAAGTTATACACAAGAAGAATTTCATCATTTGAATAAGATAGAACTCTCGAGTTTGTATTTCATCCACCCCATCAAATACTTAAACTTACTACCCAGTTGTACTTAACCTTAACTACTCATCAATATCATCACATATCGCTCACACAAAGGTAATTTCTAACACATAGCGAGATATCAACCGTGTCGCTCCGTGTCAACGATCTCTCAGCATAACATAAAATAACACAGAGACATTAAGAGTTGATACCTAAGTGATTACTAAGCTTAAAACTATCTTTAGAATCTAAGTCCAATAGATATTCATCCTAAATCCAGATTCAATTCGTCCATCTTTGCAACAACTCAAACCTAGACACTTAGCAAGCTAACAAGGATAAATATCAATAAAGATTTGTAAATAAAGTTTCATACAACACCATGAGCAATACATATACATATAATCAAGGTAAAGTTACATACAAAATCCAACAAATAATGGTTACAAAGAGAGGAAGAGGAGAATAAACTATATTTCTCGCAGTGTCAAACACGATCCATCAAGCTAACGACCCTGAATCATCAATTTGTAGCCACAAATGTTGTTGTCTAAGCTCTAACTATAAAAAAATGAAGGATGATGGAGTTGGGGTCAAAAATACCCAAAACCATACCCAAAAAAAGTGTTTTTACCCCCCTTTTAACATATTTCTGACTGGTCTGCATCGTCCGGCGACCAAAAAGCATCGCCTGGTGCTCAAAACTCTGTTTTTTCCATGCTTCTGGTCGCCTCAGCGTCGCTTGGCGACCAAAAAGCGTCGCCCGATGACAACTAAAAGTAAGTTGAAAAACCAACACAGTTTCAGCCATAAGTTGAGAATCATAACTCCGGTTCGCGCACGGTCGGAAGCTTTGGAAAACTTATTCAATACTCTTTCTAACAATGCCTAAATATCAATGCTTGAATACCTACAAAAATAAGATAAAATCAATTAAACTCAATGATATTTACACGATAACGCAATAAATATACTATAACATAAACTATACCGAATATACATTAAAATTGAGGTTTATTGACAAAAAGCAAACGGATTAAGTCGATGAGTGCTAATTATTCACACATAAATTCACAACAATTTAGCACTCATCAAACTCTCCCCAACTTAAAACATTGTTTGTCCTCAAACAAAGTCAAATAACCCAAAGAACAAAGAATGATATCAAAGAATCACGAATCAACAGGTTTTGAAAGCGGAAAACAAATGCAATGGTTCAAATGAAAAACAGTACACACAAAGTAAATATTTATCACTAAACTACGACTATAACATAAACACGAAACAAATACTAAATACAAAAATTATGCCAAACATTCTAAAACAATACTAGTTCACAAATGAATCACACCTAGCAAACACAATCATCGGTAGATGAAAAACATATAAAAATGAGGTATTTTCACTCATCCAACAATCTTGCAAACAATAGACTAAATTATGCATAAAAAATTTACATTGCTAATATAAAATCAAGAATATCAAGGGTTTTTCAAGGTTGTAATGTGGCTTGGTTAACAAACAAATGATAAGTCCTAAAGCTAATCGAAACAAAAACTTGCCTAAACCTAAGGGAGTAATTACTTCCACAAAGTTTTAAACAATAAAATTTCAGTCAAACTTCTTCTTTATCAAAACTTTCACACCAACACACATCACTTATTAACACAACATTATTCCACACTCTTTTTTTCTCAAAGTTTTCTATTTTTTTTCTTTTTCTATCACTTATTTTTCACATTTTTATCCTTTTCTTTTTCTTTCATAACCTCATAGCAATCAACCAATGAGTACACAATCATTTTTCTCCCCAACTTGAATTCAACCATACATTAAAGTGAATACTCCCTACTTTCCAAGGCAAGGTAAAAATTCAAACCAAAACAATGGTTGAGGGTTCAAGAAAACAACGAATCAACATCCATGCAAAAAGGGGAATTAAACACTCATAGACAAGCATTTAAAAAATATAACATGGATATCGACAAAAAGCTCAAAGGGATTACTAATTATCACACACTCACAAGGTGAATTGACTATTTGACTAGGTAGTTGTGCTCAAAATGAAACAAAAATTCCTTGATCCTTTTCTCGCATTCATACAATCAACACAAACAAAAGATTAAGCATAATAAAATCCAGTTAGAACAAGAATGTGGTATCCAACATATGTAAACAATGGAAAGCTACCTCAGAAGAAAGGTGGGAACTAAAGTGATTCATAAATGAACAAGTATACAAAAGAATGAATGGTATAAAAGTTGTAAAAAGTCTAAGTATCATGAATATGCTAAATTATAGAAAGCGATAAACACATACCTCGAACGTGTATAAAAATTTAACAAAATCATTACCACGCATTCACAAGTCGAAACGATCAAACTTGACAAATCTCCTCAATATTCTACAAGTTACCAGACCAAAACTTGAGTCCAAACAACAACAAAAGAATTAGAAAAATAATACTCCTACAAAATTTCAATGTACACAATTTACAATGCATACAACGAATAAAACTCCTCAAGCTAAACACGACAAGCTTTCGGAAAACACAAATTGACATACAAAATAAATACAAATAACGATATGAAAACTGGGTAAAAATGAATTAAGAAGTTGAAAAGCGAGGATTTGAAATTCAGAACATTTCCTTGTTTCAACTTGTTAAAACACAAATCACCACACACATAAACAAATACAAACAAACATGTTTGTTTTAAGTCGTAAGCTCGACGCCTTTATTGTGCGAGCTAGTAAGCTCCTCTCATCATGTTATGGTATTGTCACACCGCACAAACCTAAAGAAAGTGTCCTAACAATCACACAACAAACGTTATGAAAACGAGACAATTCACAACAATACGTGAAAACAAAGAAAAATACATATATGCACAAGTATCATATAAAAGTTAATGTACAATTTCTATACAACATATACATTAATTACAAAACTCAAAAACAAAATAATTATCGCAATGCGAAAACAATAGAACCAATCTCCAACAACGACACCATTTTGTTGAAGCGGTATAGCAGCAAGCAACAAAAGTTTTGGAAATATTTATTTGGGAATTTATCATACCACAGATATTGGTTATTGAATTATCGTTCGACAAATTCTCGCGTTTATGAGTTTAGTTTTAAATGGGTTTTTGTATGTAAGGTGTTGAAATTAAAAGTTATACACAAGAAGAATTTCATCATTCTAATAGGATAGAACTCTCAGGTTTGTATTTCGTCTACCCAATCAAATACTTAAACTTATTACCCAGTTGTACTTAACCTTAACTACTCGTCAGTGTCATCATGTATCGCTCACACGGAGGTCATTTCTAACGCATAGCGAGATATCAACCGTGTCGCTCCATGTCGATGATCTCTCAGCACAACACAAAACAACACAATGGCATTAAGAGTCGATACCTAAGTGCTTATTAAGCCTAAATCTATCTATAGAATCTAAGCCCAATAAATATCCATCCTAAATCCAGATTAAATTCGTCCATCTCTGCAACAACTCAAACCCAGACACTTAGCAAGCTAACAAGGATAAACATCAATAAAGATTTGTAAAGAAAGTTTCATACAATACCATGAGCAATAAATATACATATAATCAAGGTAAAGTTACATATAAAATCCAACAAATAATGATTACAAAGAGAGGAAGAGGAGAAGAAACCATATTTCCCGCAGTGTCAAACACGATCCATCCAGCTCACGACCCCAGATCATCTATTTGTAGCCACAAATGTTGTTGTCTAAGCTCTAACTATCAAAAAATGAAGGATGATGGAGTTGGGGTCAAAAATACCCAAAACCATACCCAAAAAATGTGTTTTTACCCCTTTTAACATATTTCTGACTAGTCCGCATCGCCCGACGACCAAAAATCATCGTCCGACGCTCAAAATTGCATTTTTTCCATGCTTCTGGTCGCCTGACGACCAAAAAGTGTCGCCCGATGACAGCTGACAGTAAGTTGAAAAACCAACACAATTTCAGCCATAAGTTGAGAACCGTAACTCCGATTCGTGCACGGTCGGAATTGTTGGAAAGTTTATTCAATGCTCTTTCTAATAATGCCTAAATATCAATGCTTGAATACCTACAAAAATGAGATAAAATCAATTAAACTCAATGATATTTACACGATGACACAATAAATACACTATAACATAAACTATACCAAATATACACTAAAGTTGAGGTTTATTGACAAAAAGCAAACAAATTAAGCCAATGGGTGCTAATTATTCACACACAAATTCACAACAATTTAGCAATCATCAGTTCTACATGGAATCAAATTCAAGTTAGGAGTTTTCTCTTGATTCTTCAAATTGTATTCATCATCGAATCTCAAAGATTTACAAAGCTTCATATTAATTCAAGAGTTTCAAGTTTACAAATAAACTCCATTTGGATTACAAGAGAGCAAAATCAAGTCTTTTTACCTAAGCATCAAAGTGTTTCATCAATTAAACAATTGAACATTCAAGTTGTTACACTTATGCTTTCAGTATCAATATCACAAGAACATCCAAAAGCCTTGAGTCCATCACTTTGCAAGTTCTTCCAAAGCTTCAACTTATCAAATGGCTTCGGTTCATACATTCTTTAAGCTTCACCATTACTTTCTCGCAACAACCATAACCATCACATGAAAAGAAGATGATGAAATGGGAATTAATACATCCATTGGTTACATGTAAAAAGTTGGCAAGAGCAAAGAAAAACAACAAATTCACAAGATTGAACAACAAAATCAATTTAATCATATTCATTCCATTCCAACAAAAGAAACAAAACAACAAGTTTAAACAAATGACAAATGATATTGAAAAGCCCAAGTTTTTAAAAACAACAACACTTTATCAAACAAAAAAAGAGATTATGACACTAAAAAGAATGATTTTTGGATTGGGCCTTTGAGAGAAAATTAGAATTTCACTAAAACAAAATCTTCTACCCAACACAATTTCATCTCAACCCAAAATCATTTCACAACATTGTTCTACTCCGAACCTTAAGTCTTAACATTATTTAAACAATCATTTCACACTGAAGCAAGGGATTTTCACATCATTCAAACACATGATTTTTGGACTCAAAAAAATAGTGAAAGAAAGAAAACAAAAAAGCAAACACTTACCCGACCAGAGCCTTGCCGGAGAACTCCAAACCTCCGCTAAAACCACATGTCCTCCGTCGTTCTGAAACTCCAACGCAATAGAAGGTTGCTCATCCTCTTATGTAACCTGAATCCTCCTTTAATTTTGCCTCTGTGTTGATTATTGGTTTTGAGACATTGAAATTTTCTGAAAAGCTTTTGTAGATCTATGGAGATTTCTGAACTTTCCTAATTTTTTTTTCGAATTTGAAACCAAGGGGAAGAATCGAACGCAGTGCTGAGAATTTTTTTTTTGAAATTGAGAATTTCATGGCGGCACCGCCGTGAGCCTCATTGGTCATCACTGTGAGCCTCACTGGCCACCTCTGTGAGCCTCACAGGCCGCCGTCGTGAGAATCTCCTTCTCTTCCATCTGTTCTTCCTTCTTTCACCGTGTTTAATCACCTCTCTTTTAATTTTAATGATTTTTTTATTGAAAGGAAAAGGAAACTGAAGTATTAAGAGAAAGAGAAGGAGATGCTTGAGTATTGAGAGAGAGAGAGAGAGAGAGAGATATTTGAAAATCCAGAAAAAAATTGTTTTAATGTTTTCATATTCTCCCCCTCTCATCCCCCCTCACTTAAGGAGATTATTGAAAATGAATTATGTGCACACATCTTTTTTGTAGTTACCATGCAACTTCATTTTGGATCCTTGATCCTACATAATTTTGTCTGGTTGACTAGATCCAATGGCTGACAGTTCTCTGCTTTATTTTTATTTTACTAATTTCATTTTAAATCGTTTTAATCTTTTAAAATTCATATTAATTCGGTTTTTAATTAAAAAAATCTCAACAAAAAAAATCACAAAAATATTTTTCATTAGTTCTGACTTTTTGTATTTTTTATGGAATTTTATTTTGATTTTTCTATTTTTAATCATTTTTCACTTGTTTGATTTATTTTAATTAGTTTAAAGTTACTTTTATGCCTTCAAAATTTATCAATTTTTCTTAAAAGATTAGAGATCATTTCTTATTTTTCTATGGTCTCCTTTGAAATTTATTTGATGTTTTGAATATATTTTGGTATTTTACCTTTTATTTTCATTTTAAAACCACTTTAAAAATCGTTTTCTTATTATATTTTGTTTATTATTGCAATTAAAATTTGTATATATTTTGGCTGGCCTTGAATCATAGTAAATTTGATAATAAGTTTCATTAAACTCAATGGATCTTGCGTGTTGAGTTCACTCCACCAAAATGGATGAATAATTTTGATGATGACTTGATTAGTACTTTGATCCAATTTTGGATTTACTTTCTAGTTCATTATCTCTATTTCATCATCTTATTCTTCTTCTTCTTGATAAATTTGGAGAGTATTTGAGCTTTTAAGTTAATCTAAGCTTGTTGAATATTTGATGTACTTTCATCATTTCCAATCTACCTGATCATTCAAGGTACTTGGGATTGATGATAAGTTTTTCATAAGGTATCTTTCTTGACTTAGGTCTTGATCACCTTTGTTTTTACTTGTGCTACATGTTTTAGGAGTATGATTTTTATCATGTCTCTAACATGTATGGTACATAAATTGTTATTATGACCGGCCTCGTACAGTATTGACTTCTACATAAGTCCGTTTGTGATTACTTAACATATCGCTAAATTTGTCCCGAGTCGGAAAACTAACATACTAACTCTAATATTTATTGTACTAACTTTTACTTTAATGAAATTTAAATTCCGTCGTTTACTTTATGTCATTCAATTTTAACATCTTTATCATTCTTGTCATTCTACTTTCTTGACTTTACTTTTATGTTATTTTTATTTTGCTCCTTGAGCATTTTACTTCATTGTTATTTTTCATTTACTCACTTGAGCTTTCTTTTCCTTTTAAAGACATTAATAATCAACTTGAACAATTACAAGACTTAAGGCTCTCTTTGGACTATGGTGACTATCCTTTGCATCTTGGAGTATTTGGATCTTTTGGACCTTAGGATAGAATATTGAGACTTTGAGACTTTTGGACCTTGAAACCTTGTTGTTATTTTGTCTGTGTATTGAGAAATTTTCTGTGTGCAGGTGTTACTTTAAACATTTATTTGTTGCAAGAATAATTCATCTGAGACATCAAGTTCATCAGATACATACAAAGTCATATGTACCCTTTCTGATTAATCTGACGCTAAGCTTGCACCTGAGGCACTATTATTCATATGATGCTTATTACCTAATTGTGTGGATTTAATTCAAAGGAATGTGATACATTGTTTGACTTGTGTCAAGATGATTTCTCTTGTTTGGTTAGACCTTTTCTACCTTAGCTTTTACTTTATGCTTTATGATAGTCCCTTCATCTCTTACCCATATTCTTAAAATTTCAAAATCTTCTCCCTTTTTCAAAACCTTATTTGTTTTCCAAATTAAACCACTTTCAATAAAAAACTTTGACTTTGTCATGTGCATTTTCAAAATTTCTTTCTTAATCAAACCTTAATTCATTTAATCCAGGTTAAACTCTTTTCTTTAAGGACTAAAAAGCACAAAATTTATTCAAACTCTTTTACCACTTGGCTTTGTATTTTAAAACTTTTTCTCAAGATTGGACACTAGTCATCTTTAAAGTCGAGTTGTAATCCTTCTATCTCCATGATATTGGTTTGTGTTGGTGTTGAATCTTTTCCACTTGAAGGGATCAGTGGCATACTTGTTGAGTCATCTAAGTTGAAGCCCTCATTTCATTTGTGATGCAAATATCCACTCTCATGTTCATGGTGGATTAGTTGAGTATTCTACTCAAGATGACAAAATGCCTCTTCATTTAAAATTAACCAACAAATAATTTTGTTATTTTTTAGAAGAATTACGTGGTTTTGATTTCATCATTGCATATTGGTGGTACGTAGGCACGAGGCTCTTGAAGTCTTGCCGGATCACATTTATAAAAACTATTTCTTTTCTCATCTCCACAAACTTTTTGCAAACAACACTTTTTAGCTAAATACACATATTTTCAAAGAGGTTTATGCGGAGTACCGTAGATGTTTAGGGTGCTAATGCCTTCTCTTTACATAACCAACCCCCGTACCTAGATCTCAATTTTATTATTTTTTGCTTTAAAAACTAATGTGGATGGCGACTTTCGCTTTGTGAGTTAAGTTAATCAATAGTTTAATCTCAATTTTTCACCGCTAGAGAAACCAAAGTGATTAACCAACTTCATAACTTCATTAACCAATATTTTACATTTTATTAATCAACTTTGTTTTGCTACTAAAATTACTTTTAATATTTGGGCGTTTATTAACCAACTTCATCACTTTATTAACCAACTTTTTACATTTTATTAACCAACTCTGTTTTACTAATAAAACTTACCTTTAATATCTGGACGTTTATTAACCAACTTTATCACTTCATTAACCAACTTTTTACATTTCATTAACCAACTTTGTTTTACTACTAAAAATTATTTTTAATATGTTGGTGTTTATTAACCAACTTCATCATTTCATTAACCAACTTTTCACGATATATTAATCAACTTTGTTTTGCTACTAAAAATCACAGTTCATACACTGTTCACATGCATTGTTCACGATCATGACATTATTCATGTCACCGTTCACGACACTATTCATATCACTGTTCATCGTACAACTATCAAAATGGGTTAGCCCATATGGACCGGCCCACCCGACCCAGAAAATCATAGGGCTTGGGCATGAAAAGCCTGCTATCCATTAGGGTTAGCCCATATGGACTGTGGGTACTCGTTAGGCCTGCATAGTTATAAATTTTAAAAAACTATATTAATATTATTGTCTTTACTTAAAAATAACACATTGATTTTCCTCACCTCACTAAAATTGATCTCCATTCTATTAAATCTTTCTCTTTTAAATATTATACATTAATATAATCAATACTTTTTACCGTATTCCTTTAATTTTTCTCTTATCTTAAATATCTGAGTATCATTTTATACAATTTAGACATGTATTTTATTTTAAAAGACATTATAGTATTTATAAAAGATAATATAGTATTTAAAAATGTATTATGTTTAAAATAATATAATTTTTTAATTTTATTTATAATAAATATTATTGGTTTTTTATTTTAATTTTTTAAAATAAAAAAGTCTATTTAAGACCGGTTAGCCTGAGTCCATCTAAGACCGGACTCAGATGGTAAATCTAGAGTCCATATTACTATAAAATTATTTAGCCCAATCCTAAAATGCCTAAGATTTGTCTAATGTTGCCTGTTTAAGATCAGATAATCTATTTTAACAGTTCTAATTCATTGTATTTGTGAATAATAAATACAATATAAATGTAAGAATAGTATAGAAATATCAATGCTGTAATTCTTAATACAATGAATTTGGTTAGTATAATGCATTGCATGA